CATCACTGACAATGTAACTTGTAACATAATTAACATCACTGACAATGTAACTTGAAACAAATTACATCCACTGATAATGTAAGTTGTAACATAATTAACCACACTGCTAATGTAACTTGTAAGATAATTTAACATCACCGAAAATATAACTTGAGTAACATAATTAACATCACTGATAATGTAACTTGTAACATAATTAACATCACTGAATAATGTAACTTGTAACATAATTAACATTCACGACAATGTAACTTGTAACATATTAACATCACTAACATGTAACTTTTTAACAATTCACATCACTAACAATGTAACTTGTAACCATATTAACATCACTTAACAATTGTAACTGTAACTAATTAACATCACAGCAATGTAACTATTGTAACATATTAACATCACAACCAATTTAACTTGTAACATATTAACATCACTAACAATTAACTTTTTAACATAATTACACACTTCAATGTATCGTGTAACATATTAACATCACTGACATGTAACAGTACATATTAACATCACAACAATGTAACTTGTAACATAAATAACTCAGCGCGAGAATCTAACTTTGTAATATAATTTAACATCACTGACAATGTAACCTTGTAACAAAAATTAACAATCACTGACAATGTAACTTGTAACATATACGTCACCTGACAATGTAACTTGTAAACATAATTAATACATCACTGTGAAATGTAACGTGGTAACGTAATTAACATCACAGATAACGAAACTTGTTACAGTGTTGACATCACTGACAATTGTAACTTGAACATAATTAACATCATTATAATATCACTTGTTACATCCTAACATCACCTGATAATGTAACTTGTTACATATTAACATCACTGATAATGTAACTTGTAACATAATTAACATCACTGATAATGTAATTTGTTACATATTAACATCACCGATAATGTAACTTGATACATAATAAACATCACAGATAATATACTTGTAACATAATTAACATCACTGATAATGTAACTTGTTACATATTAACATCACTGAAAAAGTAACTTGTAACATAATTAACATCACTGATAATGTAACTTGTTACATATTAACATCACTGATAATGTAACTTGTTACATATTAACATCACTGACAATGTAACTTGTGACATATTAACATCACTAGCAATGTAACTTGAAACATAATTAACATCAGTGATAATGTAACTTGTTACATACTAACATCACTGATAATGTAACTTGTTACATATTCACATCACTGATAATGTAACTTGTTACATATTAACATCAGTGATAATGTAACTTGTTACATATTAACATGAGTTGATAATGTAACCTTGTTACATATTAAAATCACTGATACTGTAACTGTTACCAAATTAACATCAGTGATAATGTAACTTGTTACATATTAACATCAGTGTAGTAATTGTAAACTTGTTACTTATTAACATCACTGAAATGTAACATGTTACATATTAACCATCACTGATAATGTAATTGGTTACATATTAACACACTGATAATGTAATCTTGTTACATATTAACATCATGATAATGTAACTTGTTACATATTAACATCACTGATAATGTAACTTGTTACATATTAACATCACTGATAATGTAACTTGTTACATATTAACATCAGTGATAATGCAACTTGTTACATATTAACATCAGTGATAATGTAACTTGTTACATATTAACATCAGTGATAATGTAACTGCAACATATACACATCAGTGATAATTTACTTGATTACATATTAACATCAGTGATAATGTAACTTGTTACATATTAACATCAGTGATAATGTAACTTGCAACATATTAACATCACTGATAATGGAGAAGTCTTCCACTAGTAAACACTCTTTCATCACACTCGCAATCTTACATAAAAGCAAAAAAAATCTTCAATACAGTTTTTTTAAGCTTAACATTATATATTAAACATTATTGTAATAGGTTTACGTCACTCAACCTGTACAGGGTGAGTGTGAGGGCCTTCTGTAACATGTGCCCCTCCTGGAGAGGTTACGTGTGGTCAGGCGTAATGTTGATAACAGAAAGAAAAGTTCCACGTTGATGTGCTACCTCGGCGAGTATTCTCCAGGTCAGCTTCCTGTCCAGGTCACGTCAGGTCAACCATACTTGCGTCATTTTCAAAGACCTACGATTTTTAAAATTATTTGGAAAAAAATGAAAAATACCTAGTAATATTAAAGTATCAATTAATGACAAAACTAAAACAAACTGACAAAATTACGACAAAAAAATAACTCGTACACAAATGAAAAAATTACAACAACACTGGGTGATTATAATTAAGTAAATAAATAGAGACCTAGTAACACCAAATGGGAATGGAAGTGTAATTAGCTCAGAGGCACCCACACCACCGTATGTCTTCAGATCACGGTAAAACCCTAGCTCTGCTGAGTACTTGATTCTTGGAAAGGATTAAGTGGTCCTATGGGTTAAAGCTTCATGTGAGTTTCGTTCACCATGAAGAAGAACATAATGACATGGTTCGAGTCCTTGGCTAGTTGCAGTTTTGTTATTTGATATATATATATATAAATATATATATTATATATAAAATATACATTATATATATAAAATATATATATATATATATATATATTGATATATATATATATCTGTATATATTATATATATATAATATTATATATATAATATATATAATATATATATATATACATAGTATATATATGTATGTCTGTATGTATTAACAAGTCGGCGTCTCCCACCCGAGGCAGGGTGACCCAAAAAGAAAGAAAATCCCCCCAAAAGAAAATACGTCATCAACCATCAACACTTTCACCTCACTCACACTAAATCAAATGTTTTGCAGAGTGCTCAGAACACAACAGTTTTAGAAGCAAAATCCCGAACCCTCCTTTAAGTGCAGGCATTGTACTTCCCATTTCCAGGATTCAAGCCCGGCTATACAAAATACCGGTTTCCCTCGAATCCCCTTCACTAAAATTACCCTGCTCACACTCCAATCATCTCGTCAGGTCCCAAGTAACCAATTCGCTCCATTCACTCCTATCTAACACCTCACGCAGCTTGCTGAAGTCATGCCCCTCGCCATCAAAACCTATAATGTGAGTTGTGTTTAGGTGCAGTTGTCACAAAATTTGTTTTGTTTTATCTGTGTTATGGAAGTATGTGGAATTTTTGCGTGTAGTAGCTACATGGCTGCGGTTTATACTTTATACCTTTGTATTCTGTGATGGTTTTCATGATATAAAGTTTTATTTAAATACTATGTGCAATGACTAGGGTTTACATGCTAAGATTGCACATAAGTTGCCTTTGAGAGTTGACATTCATTGTTGTAACCTTCTTAGGAAAATTAAACTTCTGAGGTTTTTCTTTCACCAGGTGAGGTGTCATTGTGTTAAGTAAAGACATGTATCCCATTTAATTGTTATTAATATTTTTGTGTCCAAGATGTTACTACATCACTCATGATAGTGTAATTCCTATGTATCCTTTAATGTTAAGTTAAGATGCAGTCAGGTTGGTGATGGTTATATTTGGCGGGAGGGAGGGGGGTGAAATTGTGACAGAAGTTTAAGCCTTCACAGGTATATAACTCTGATATAACTGGGTGTATATGGTGTGTGGTTTAGGGTGTCAGAACACTTTTGTCTGTTGTAATCATTTTTGTAAGGGTGAATTGGGAATTTGTGATTTAACTCATTTTGTGTACCTTTTAATATAATTTCCACCTTGGATTGTAATGTTTTAAATAAAATAAAATAAAAAAAAAAACACTCCCGACCCCATATTGGGTGGGGCCTGAGGGGGCTTGTGGGTGTTGGTATTCTGGTGTGCCAGTGGTACCCTGAGAGAGGTACTGGGGGTGTCACTCGAAGACAACTCCCCCTCAGAGAGAACCTTCTACCAACTAAACATTACACAAAACTTACTGATTTCAAGTAATGAGATATCTTCAGCAGGGGAGATGTAAGGTAACAATTCCTTTGCAAAAACATTGTTACGTTCTGGTTTGAGCTTAAAATATTCTTTCTCAGATCTTATATCTGCTATATTTTGCAAGTTTTCTACATTTATAAAATTACCTATTTAAATGAAAGGTTTTTCATGTCAGAGAGCTCAGTGAGTGTTGAAAAAGGAGATTCAGGTAGGTTAGTTTTTTTTTTTTTTTTTTTATTCGCCGTATCTCCCGCCGGTCTTTTCCAAGTAGTGGTGAACCGCTTGGTCCCTATTGGGGAGTGTCTCGAACTAGTCTCCAAAGGGAGAGGTATAGTACCTCCATCTTTGGGACCAAGTGTCCCAGCTAGCCACATTCCCCGCCTCACGGGGCGTAGAGAAGCTAGGCCTCTGGTCTGCCATTACCGCCTAAAGGGCCGGGGGTGGTTTATGAGCTGCAATGTAGCAAGCTCAGGTCTCTCTTGACCTTCGGTAATGTATAAGAGTCTTGTGTGATAATGACTGGAAATAGTGTTCGAACTATGGAGTATAACTGCAAACGTTTATCTAAATTACTTCAACAGTTAAAGATTAGGAAATTTATTGGATTTAAATTGTGAATAAACAATTAATGATAATTTTAAAATTTTTTCTCCTAAATTGTCATACTAAAATGTTATTAGAAAGGAGTCAGTGTAATGAACATTTTTAAGAACCATAAGATTAGCATTCATGAATTTTGAGAAAATTATATATTAGACAATTCAAACCTGCAGTGGAATTATTTGCTTCATAAAGGGTGTCTATTTTGCTCAAGGTTTCATATTTATTTTTATTGGTCATGATTAGTGCTGGTTGAGTACTTCCCAGGTTGTGCCTCTAGTATCATGCACTCTTAGTTTGTTTTAGTAATATTTATGTATTTATGTAAAAAATTTAGTTTTTGACTGGATAAATTATGCAGATATCTGATGATCGTGAATGGCTCATCTGCTTCATATTAAAACTCATTATGATAAACTAAAATTTAATAATTACCTACCTTAAAGTCAATATTTGGATGAGTTGCCTCCCGGAACCAGTTGGTTCCATTTCGTTCGTCGTAATACACACGCAGGCAGGGAACTTTCCTGAAGTTTATGTATCATTTAGAGAGAATAAAAAATGTTAATACTGATCAATAATCAGTTAAATAGTTGTGACACTCAACATTTTGGATAGGTTGATTTAGCTATGAAATAAATAAATCGAAATTATTTTTAAAAACATAAAAAGCTCTGCAGTAGGCCTGTTTGCCCATGTTAGGCTGGTCCAGCTAACATACACCCACATCCATTGTTACTGAAAGGTTTTCATTTAAATTTTCATACCATTGCTTTCCTATAGCTTTACTAAATTTAATTTTTCCCCTTTATCGGGCAGCACCTCAAATTTGAGGCTAGAAAGATGTTTCATGGTGCCTCAAAAGTTGAACCTGTAAGATCTCCAGATTCAACAATCTGTATGAGTGATCTAGAAGTGGTTCTGGGTGTTTACCAGGCGGACCAATGTTCAGTACTCTCAAGATGAAGAGAACAACCTCAACGAGTTTCCATGACAATGTAAGATCATTTTGAGATCAACATAAATATGCCTACGAGGATTGAGAAGTACAAACAATAATGACTGAGAAGTCTTGGTACCTATTAATGACACAATTGAGCAGGCCCAGCAAAATTAGGACCAAGGGCCTGAAATGGGTCACTTATTATGCGTTGTCATGAAGATGGTTTATTAACAAAATGCAAATGGAGGTTTCAATAGGATACAAACACTTTGACCATCATTGTATTAGCCTAACAGACGATGTGAAAATAAAAGGCCTGATAGTAAGGTAGTAATTTACCCTGAATTTAAGAATTGTCACATGGAATGACCATTTTGTGCAATTTATGCAGTAATTTCTGTTACACATATGTGTTTTTATGGGTAAATATCTCATAGGATAATTCAGTGATGCAGGTTATCTGATGCAGGACTGAAGAGAACAGGGCTGGGATAATGCCACCAAGGTTACTTCAAGTAATGGGGAACATAAGAATTGGTTTATGAAAAGAGAGTGTGTGCTGAAGATATACTGACCAGTATGGATGAGGGTTTGATAGTGGACAGACAGCTAATGGCCTGTATGACAATGTTTTGAACATAGATCATGGCTATACACCTGTACAAAATGAGGTACAACAAGGAGAAAACATGTGAATATTGCTGTCGTTCAGTCGTGGAAAGTAGAGGCCTTAATTAGCCACAAACTTGGGCATGACAGAAAGATATGTTTCCTCTCACATACTCCAGATAGAGCTCAGCAAAGAGTCTGTTACAGAATGCTATGCACTCTTGGGATACTGTCCCTTGAACTTTGTTTGATGTCGTATGGCATGGTTGGTTGACGGGTACTTCTGTGAAATGATAATACAACCCAGGTTCCATGTATCATGTCCTTGTGAGCTCTAACAAAGAACATCCCAAGAAGTTCTCAGACCTCTCAGTATGTCTTCTTCATGGAATGTGTTATAAACTGAAGAACTTTGGCAGTCGGCAGCCAACAAGGCCTCAAATCCGGTAAGAAGGGATATGATACAGACAATACATATGTTCTAAACAAGGCCTTTATTAACATGTGCAACGAGAGACAAGAGGCCTTACGCATCAGGTGTTTTTCCCATGCAAGTTGCTCTATGTCAAACTGCACCAGGAATTTTCGTGGAATTCCATAAGAGATCTAAATGCCTTCTGTAAAATATTTGAATAGTCATCACATAAACACAGTAACAAGGAATCAGTTGTGTCCACCATATTCTTGTAACATTTGAAAATTTGAAAGAGGTGCTTCTGGAACTGCTACAGGATGGTTATGTGTAGTTTTGGGGAACTACAGTTACTGTGCTATTCTGTCAGGGCATCACCAGTAGCTATAATACAGCAAACTTAAAATGTAGATATGTGCCTGTCCTATTATCGATTTTATGCTAGGGGGCTAGCTGTATTTCTTCATTCTAAGCCCACATACGAAAAGCTGGTGCATCGCACTCAGGATCTGCATGCCTTGTTGTCACCTGTTTAGTAACAGTGTGCGGCTTTGAATAGCAAATACATTCACCTCAAAAAGTTCATTTTACCCTGCCCATTGTGAAGAAGGCCAACAAGAAAATCCAGAAGCTAAATTATCACAATATTGGTTCTATGATTTCTTAACTTGAAGAATTTGAGACGGACTATGCACATAGGGATCTCTATCAGGAAACGTTTGTACACCCCAAATTTGGCTTCACTGGCCACGTCTCAACTACAAAGGCGTCCATGTGAAATTGCTAGCCCAATGATAATCGAGGACCTCTCAATCTTGCTTGTTCGTCATGCAAGTTCTCTTTGTCTAAACTCAAACCAGGAATTGGTTTCGTGAATTCCATAATGAGATGCTTAATGCCTCTGCAAAAATATCTATGTCAAATAAATACATAACTAGGATACTCATTTGTGTCATTATCCATATTTTTGTAAAAATTTTGCAATTTTTCATAATGTCTAATGCTACAAACTGTATTAGTATTTGAACCAGTTATGTGCCTTTTGTTTAACCAGATTCTTAATTAATAAACTTAAATGTATATATGTGCCTTTAAATATCATTTATTAGTAGCTGTTATTATTCATTTAGACACATACCATTGTCGGGCATCGCATCAGATCTATGCGTGATCTGTCACCTATAGTTTAATCATGTGCGTGATGCCATCTATCATTCATTCTCACAAAAAGTGTATTTTACGGCCTCCCCAAAAATCGAAAATGCACAAAAATAAATGTCTTAGAATTGATTAAATTATCACAATATAGGTTGCAAATGTTGTTGTTTTCATATATAATGTTGTTGTTTCTCAATAAATGTTGATTTTCTCAAAATAAATGTTGTTGTTTCTCAATATAATGTGTTGTTTCTCAAATATAATGTTGTTGTTTCTCAAATATAATGTTGTTGTTTCTCAAATATAATGTTGTTGTTTCTCAAATATAATGTTGTTGTTTCTCAAATATAATGTTGTTTCTCAAATATAATAATGCCTTGCCCAATAAAGGGTTTAAACCAGTTTCTGTGAGTGAAGTCTTCATTTGATATTTTTTATCACATTATTTATATCAGCAATTTCTCAGCAATACCTCTTCTGTTTCCACCTAATTACAACCATAAAGATTCATAAGGTGATTGTTCACAGTTATGTTCCAGCAACCAATGAAGAACTGCTACGACACACCTTGAAATAACCAGTGGAAGAATCAATAAATCTCCGTGCAAGGCGCACAATACAATTACTGCCTTCTGAATTTGTGTTTCAGTTGTTAATGTTTAGCAAAAATACTTTTCACATACATATAAGTTTTTCAAGTGGTAAACCTTTGACAAGTTTGACAGACACAGACCCTTGCAGTTGTTTAATTCAAAAGAATTGAAAAAAATGAAGAATAAAACTGGTGAAAACACACAAATATCATAATAAAAATTCCTCAGAGATAATACACCAAAGCAAAGGTGAAAAAGATTTCATTCAGATTATTAATATAGAGGGATATTAACAAAATATAATAAATAAGACTAGTTCGACTTTTTTCAATATAGTTGTTTGATGCTTAATTAACACCCATATACCTACTTACTGCTAAGTCACAAGCGAAAATATGTTTAAATGTTATACGTATTTTTAATTGTGCTAGGATCGAACCCAGGACCTTTTTGTGTGAACCGAACTTGGTACCGCTTGAGCAAGTGATAGTTATACACGTATTACAAGAATTATAAATTAAACACTAACCATAATCTAAGATATGTGAGTTATAAAGGAAATACAAGGAACAAACCTACGTTTGTTGAATATTATTATGACAACATCTCCGTTAACATCACTGACAATGTAACTTGTTACATATTAACATCACTGACAATGTAACTTGTTACATATTAACATCACTGACAATGTAACTTGTTACATATTAACATCACTGACAATGTAACTTGTTACATATTAACATCACTGACAATGTAACTTGTTACATATAACACCTGACAATAACAGTTACATATTAACATCACTGATCAATTAACTTGTTACATATTAACATCAATAACAATGTAACTTGTTACATATTAACATCACTAACAATGTAACTTGTAACATAATTAACATCACCGATAATGTAACATATTAACATAATTAGCATCACCGATAATGTAACTTGTAACTCGTAATGACACGATTGCAAATAAACCATACCCCCCCCCCCCCCCCCCGGGCCCGGGGTTGAACCCGCGGGCTGGAGTTTTGAGACTCTATGACCGCGGGTTCAATCCCGGCCGGGGGTATGGTAACTTGTAACATAATTAGCATCACCGATAATGTAACTTGTAACATATTAACATCACTAACAATGCAACTTGTAACATAATTAACATCACTGACAATATAACTTGTAACATAATTAACATCACTGATAATGTAACTTGTAACATAATTAACATCATCGATAATGTAACATGTAACATATTAACATCACTAACAATGCAACTTGTATCATAATTAACATCACTAACAATGTAACTTGTAACATATTAACACCATTAACAATGTAACTTGCAACATATTAACATCACTGACAATGTAACTTGTAACATATTAACATCACTAACAATGTAACTTGTAACATAATTAACATCACTGACAATGTAACTTGTAACATAATTAACATCACTGACAATGTAACTTGTAGCATAATTAACATCACTGATAATATAACTTGTAACATAATTAACATCACCGATAATGTAACACGTAACATATTAACATCACTAACAATGTAACTTGTAACATAATTAACGTCACTGATAATGTAACTTGTAACATATTAACATCACTAACAATGTAACTTGTAACTTAATTAACATCACTGACAATGTAACTTGTAACATATTAACATCACTGACAATGTAACTTGTAACATATTAACATCGCTAACAATGTAACTTGTAACATTATTAACATCACTGACAATGTAACTTGTAACATGTTAACATCACTGAGACTGTAAGTTGTAACATATTAACATCACTGACAACGTAACTTGTAACATATTAACATCACTGACAATGTAACTTGTAACATAATTAACATCACTGACAATGTAACTTGTAACATATTAGCATCACTGACAATGTAACTTGTAACATAATTAACATCACTCATAATGTAACTTGTAACATATTAACATCACTGACAATGTAACCTGTAACATATTAACATCACTAACAATGTAACTTGTAACATAATTAACATCACTGATAATGTAACTTGTAGCATAATTAACATCACCGATAATGTAACATGTAACATGTTAACATCACTAACAATGCAACTTGTATCATAATTAACATCACTGACAATGTAACTTGTAACATATTAACTTCACTAAGAATGTAGCTTGTAACATAATTAACATCACTGACAATGTAACTTGTAACATAATTAACATCGCTGACAATGTAACTTGTAACATAATTAACATCAGTAACAATGTAACTTGTAACATAATTAACATCACTAACAATGTAACTTGTAACATAATTAACATCACTGATAATATAACTTGTAACATAATTAACATCACCGATAATGTAACATGTAACATATTAACATCATTAACAATGTAACTTGTAACATAATTAACGTCACTGATAATGTAACTTGTAACATATTAACATCACTAACAATGTAACTTGTAACATAATTAACATCACTGACAATGTAACTTGTAACATATTAACATCACTAACAATGTAACTTGTAACATAATTAGCATCACTAAGACTTAAGAAATCGTAATGACACGATTGCAAATAAACCATACCCTAACCAATCGTGTCATTACGATTTCTTGAGTCATGTTGACGGCAGTGAAGGGACTTGAGCTAGAGTTCGTCACGGCCACGCTAGCTGGAGATTCGTCTGTAAAAACTAGCATTTGTGGTCACAGAGGTGGCCTTGCAACCTTCCAGGTGTAGAAATATACCTAGTTGGATGAATCTTATTGTGGCTAGCTGGTCTAGTGGCTAACGCGACGGGCTGGAGTTTTGAGACTCTATGACCGCGGGTTCACTCCCGGCCGGGGGTATGGTTTAGCATCACTAAACAATGTAAACTTGTGACATATAACCTCACTAACAATGTAACTGTGTATATAACATCATAACAGATGTACTTGAAACATAATTAACATCACTGATAAGTAACTTGCAACATATTAACGATAACGAGAAGTACTTTTAACATATTAACATCACTAACAAGAATTGTAACATATTATCATACTAACAAGTAACTTTTAACATATTAACATCACTGACAATGCAACTTGTAACATATTAACATCACTGACAATGTAACTTGTAACATAATTAACATCACTGACGAATGCTAAGCTGTAACATAATTAACACACTGGGATAATGTAACTTGTAACAATTAACACACGATAATGTAACTTGTAACATACTAACATCACTGATATGTAACTGCATATTTAACATCACTGACAATGCAACTTGTAACATATTAACATCACTGACAATGTAACTTGTAACATATTAACATCACTAACAACGTAACTTGTAACATAATTAACATCACTGACAATGTAACTTGTAACATAATTAACATCACTGATAATGTAAGTTGTAACATAATTAACATCACTGATAATGTAACTTGTAAGATAATTAACATCACCGATAATATAACTTGTAACATAATTAACATCACTGATAATGTAACTTGTAACATAATTAACATCACTGATAATGTAACTTGTAACATAATTAACATCACTGACAATGTAACTTGTAACATATTAACATCACTAACAATGTAACTTGTAACATATTAACATCACTAACAATGTAACTTGTAACATATTAACATCACTAACAATGTAACTTGTAACATAATTAACATCACTAGCAATGTAACTTGTAACATATTAACATCACTAACAATGTAACTTGTAACATATTAACATCACTAACAATGTAACTTGTAACATAATTAATATCACTTGCAATGTATCGTGTAACATATTAACATCACTGACAATGTAACTAGTAACATATTAACATCACTAACAATGTAACTTGTAACATAATTAACATCACCGATAATCTAACTTGTAATATAATTAACATCACTGACAATGTAACTTGTAACATAATTAACATCACTGACAATGTAACTTGTAACATATTAACGTCACTGACAATGTAACTTGTAACATAATTAACATCACTGATAATGTAACTTGTAACGTAATTAACATCACTGATAACGTAACTTGTTACATGTTGACATCACTGACAATGTAACTTGTAACATAATTAACATCACTGATAATATAACTTGTTACATACTAACATCACTGATAATGTAACTTGTTACATATTAACATCACTGATAATGTAACTTGTAACATAATTAACATCACTGATAATGTAATTGTAACATATTAACATCACTGAAATGTAACTTGTTACATATTAACATCACTATAATATAACTTGTAACATAATTAACATCACTGATAATGTAACTTGTTACATATTAACATCACTGAAAAAGTAACTTGTAACATAATTAACATCACTGATAATGTAACTTGTTACATATTAACATCACTGATAATGTAACTTGTTACATATTAACATCACTGACAATGTAACTTGTGACATATTAACATCACTGACAATGTAACTTAAACGTAATTTAACATCAGTGATAATGTAACTTGTTACATGCTAACATCACTGATAATGTAACTTGTTACATATTAACATCACTGATAATGTAACTTGTTACATATTAACATCAGTGATAATGTAACTTGTTACATATTAACATGAGTGATAATGTAACTTGTTACATATTAACATCACTGATAATGTAACTTGTTACATATTAACATCAGTGATAATGTAACTTGTAACATAATTAACATCATGATAATGTAACTTGTACATATAACATCACTGATAATGTAACTTGTTACATATTAACATCACTGATAATGTAACTTGTTACATATTAACATCAGTGATAATGTAACTTGTTACATATTAACATCAGTGATAATGTAACTTGTTACATATTAACATCACTGATAATGTAACTTGAACTAATTAACATCACTGATAAATGTAACTTGTTACATATTAACATCAGTGATAATGCAACTGTTACATATTAACATCAGTGATAAATTAACTTGTTACATATTAACACATGTGATAATGTAACTTGAACATATTAACATCAGTGATAATGTAACTTGTTACATATTAACATCAGTGATAATGTAACTTGTTACATATTAACATCAGTGATAATGTAACTTGCAACATATTAACATCACTGATAATGGAAAAGTCTTCCACTAGTAAACACTCTTTCATCACACTCGCAATCTTACATAAAAGCAAAAAAAATCTTCAATACAGTTTTTACATGCTTAACATTATATATTAAACATTTTGTAATAGGTTTACGTCACGCACCTGTACAGGTGTGTGAGGGCTTCTGTAACATGTGCCTCCTGGAGAGGTTTACGTGTGGTCAGGCTAAGTTGATAACAGATAAGAAAAGTTCCACGTTGATGTGCTAACTCGGCGAAGTATTCTCCAGGGTCAGCTTCCCTTGTCCAGGTCACGTCCAGGTCAACCATCTGCGTCATTTTCAAAGACCACGATTTTTAAAATATATTTGGAAAAAAATGAAAATACCTAGTAATATTAAAGTATCAATGTAATGACTAAAACTAAAACAAACTGACAAAATTACGAACAAAAATAACTCGTACACAAATGAAAAAAATACAACAACACTGTGATTATAATTAAGTAAATAAATAGAGACTAGTACACCAAATGGGGAGTGGAATGTAATTAGCTCAGAGGCACCCACACCACCGTATGTCTTCAGATCACGGTAAAACACCTAGCTCTGCTGAGTACTTGATTCTTGAAGGATTAAGTGGTCCTATGGGTTAGAGCTTCATGTGATTTTCGTTCACCATGAAGAAGACATAATGACATGGGTTCGAGTCCTTGGCTAGTTGCAGTTTTGTTATTGATATATATATATATATATATATATATATATATATATATATATATATATATATATATATATATATATATATATTTATATATATATATATATATATATATATATATATATATATATATATATATATATATATATATATATATATATATATATATATATATATGTATGTATGTATGTATTAACAAGTCGGCCGTCTCCCACCGAGGCAGGGTGACCCAAAAAAGAAAGAAAATCCCCCAAAAGAAAATACTTTCATCATCCTTCAACACTTTCACCTCACTCACACATAATCAATGTTTTTGCAGAGGTGCTCAGAACACAACAGTTTAGAAGCATATCCCGAACCCCTCCTTTAGAGTGCAGGCATTGTACTTCCCATTTCCAGGATTCAAGTCCCGGCTATATGAAAATAACCGGTTTCCCTGAATCCCTTCACTAAATATTACCCTGCTCACACTCCAACATCTCGTCAGGTCCCAAGTACCATTCGTCTCCATTCACTCCTATCTAACACGCTCACGCACGCTTGCTGGAAGTCCATGCCCCTCGCCCACAAAACCTCCTTTACCCCCTCCCTCCAACCTTTTTTGAGGACGACCCCTACACCGCCTTCCTTCCCCTATAGATTTATACGCTCTCCATGTCATTCTACTTTGATCCATTCTCTCTAAATGACCAAACCACCTCAACAACCCCTCTTCAGCCCTCTGACTAATACTTTTATTAACTCCACACCTTCTCCTAATTTCCACACTCCGAATTTTCTGCATAATATTTACACCACACATTGCCCTTAGACAGGACATCTCCACTGCCTCCAACCGCCTCCTCGCTGCTGCATTCACAACCCAAGCTTCACACCCATATAAGAGTGTTGGTACCACTATACTTTCATACATTCCCTTCTTTGCCTCCATAGATTACGTTTTTTGTCTCCACATACACCTCAATGCACCACTCACCTTTTTTCCCTCATCAATTCTTTGATTAACCTCATCCTTCGTAAATCCATCCACTGACACGTCAACTCCGAAGTATCTGAAAACATTCACTTCTTCCATACTCCTCCTCCCCAATTTGATATCCAATTTCTCTTTATCTAAATCATTTGATACCCTCATCACCTTCCTCTTTTCTATGTTCACTTTCAACTTTCTACCTTTACACACGCTCCTAAACTCATCCACTAACCTTCGTAAATTTTCTTTAGAATCTCCCATAAGCACAGTATCATCAGCAAAAAGCAACTGTGTCAATTCCCATTTTGTATTTGATTCTCCATAATTTAATCCCACCCCTCTACCGAACACCCTAGCGTCTACTTCTTTTACAACCCCATCTATAAATATATTAAACAACCATGGTGACATTACACATCCCTGTCTAAGACCTACTTTTACCGGGAAGTAGTCTCCCTCTCTTCTACACACCCTAACCTGAGCCTCACTATCCTCATAAAAACTTTTACAGCATTTAATAACTTACCACCTATTCCATAAACTTGCAACATCTGCCACATTGCTCCCTATCCACTCTATCACATGCCTTTTCTAAATCCATAAATGCAATGAAAACTTCCCTACCTTTATCTAAATACTGTTCACATATATGCTTCAATGTAAACACTTGATCTACACATCCCCTACCCACTCTGAAACCTCCTTGCTGATCCGCAATCCTACATTCTATCTTACCTCTAATTCTTTCAATTATAACCCTACCGTACACTTTTCCTGGTATACTAAGTAGACTTATTCCTGTATAATTTTTACAATCTCTTTTGTCCCCCTTCCCTTTATATAAAAGAACTATACGAGCTCTCTGCCAATCCCTAGGTACCTTCCCCTCTTTCATACATTTATTAAACAAAAATACCAACCACTGCAACACTATATCCCCCCTGCTTTTAACATTTGTGTCATGATCCCGTCAGTTCCAGCTGCTTTACCCCCTTTCATTCTAGGTAATGCTTCACGCACCTCCCCCACACTCACATCCTAAAAGATGGTATACCTCCCTGGCCAGTGCATGAAATTACCGCTTCCCTTTCTTCGTCGACATTTAAAAGTTCCTCATAATATTCTCGCCATCTACCCAAAACTTCCATCTCCCAATCTACTAACTCCCCTACTCTGTTTTTAACTGACAAATCCATTCTTTCTCTAGGCTTTCTTAACTTGTTTAACTCACTCCAAAATATTTTCTTTTCATTAAAATTTCTTGACAGTGCCTCTCCCACTCTTTCATCTACTCTCCTTTTGCACTCTCTCACCACTCTCTTCACCTTTCTTTTACTCTCCATATACTCTACTCTTCTTATAACACTTCTGCTTTGTAAAAACCTCTCATAAGCTAACTTTTTCTCTTTTATTACACCCTTTACATCATCATTCCACCAATCACTCCTCATTCCTCCTGCACCCACTCTCCTATAACCACAAACTTCTGCCCCACATTCTAATACTGTATTTTTAATACTATTCCAACCCTCTTCAGCCCACCCAATACTCATACTTGCTCCAGCCCACCTTTCTGCCAATAGTTGCTTATATCTCACTCGAACTTCCTCCTCCCTTAGTTTATACACTTTCACCTCCCTCTTGCTTGTTGTTGCCATTTTCCTCTTTTCCCATCTACCTCTTACTCTAACTGTAGCTACAACTAAATAATGATCCGATATATCAGTTGCCCCTCTATAAATGTGTATATCCTGGAGCCCATGCATCAACCTTTTGTCCACCAATACATAATCGAACAAACTACTTTCATTACGTGCTACATCATACCTTGTATATTTATTTATCCTCTTCTTCATAAAATATGTATTACTTATTACCAAACCTCTTTCTACACATAGCTCAATTAAAGGCTCCCCATTTACATTTACCCCTGGCACCCCAAAATTACCTACTACTCCCTCCACAACATTTTTGCCCACTTTAGCATTGAAATCCTCAACCACCATTACTCTCACACTTGGTTCAAAACTCCCCACGCATTCACTCGACATTTCCCAAAATCTCTCTCTCTCTCCTCTACACTTCTCTCTTCTCCAGGTGCATACACGCTTACTATAACCCACTTTTCACATCCAACCTTTATTTTACTCCACATAATCCTTGAATTAATACATTTATATTCCCTCTTTTCCTGCCATAACTTATCTTTCAACATTATTGCTATTCCTTCTTTAGTTCTAACTCTATTTGAAACCCCTGACCTAATCCCATTTATTCCTCTCCATTGAAACTCTCCCACCCCCTTCAGCTTTGTTTCACTTAAAGCCAGGACATCCAGTTTCTTCTCATCCATAACATCCACAATCATCTCTTTCTTATCATTTGCACAACATCCACGCACATTCTTCTTCTTATTCTTTATAGTAATTTTTACAGGAAAAGGGGTTACTAGCCCATTGTTCCCGGCATTTTAGTTGACTTTTACAACACGCATTGCTTACGGAGGAAAGATTCTTATTCCACTTCCCAATGGATATAAAAGGAAAAATAATAAGACCAAGAACTATTAAGATAAAATCATAGAAAACTGAGATGAGTGTGTATAAATAAACGTGTACATGTATGTGTAGTGTGACCTAAGTGTAAGTAGAAGTAGCAAGACATACCTGTAATCTTGCATATTTATGAGACAGACAAAAGACACCAGCAATCCTACCATCATGTAAAACAATTACAGGCTTTTGTTTTACACTCACTTGGCAATACGGTAGTACTTCCCTGGGTGGTTGCTGTCTACCAACCTACTACCACAGGACGGTAGTACCTCCCTGGGTGGTTGCTGTCTACCAACCTACTACCACAGGACGGTAGTACCTCCCTGGGTGGTTGCTGTCTACCAATCTACTACCACAGGACGGCAGTACCTCCCCGGGACGTTGCTGTCTACCAACCTACTACCACAGGACGGTAGTACCTCCCTGGGTGGTTGCTGTCTGCCAACCTACTACCACAGGACGGTAGTACCTCCCCGGGTGGTTGCTGTCTACCAACCTACTACCACAGGACGGCAGTACCTCCCCGGGACGTTGCTGTCTACCAACCTACTACCACAGGACGGTAGTACCTCCCCGGGTGGTTGCTGTCTACCAACCTACTACCACAGGACGGTAGTACCTCCCGGGTGGTTGCTGTCTACCAACACTACTACCACAGGACGGCAGTACTCCCCGGACGTTGCTGTCTACCAACCTACTACAACAGGACGGTAGTACCTCCCTGGGTGGTTGCTGTCTACCAACCTACTACCACAGGACGGTAGTACCCCCAGGGTGGTTGCTGTCTACCAACCTACTACCACAGGACGGTAGTACCTCCCTGGGTGGTTGCTGTCTGCCAACCTACTACCACAGGACGGTAGTACCTCCCAGGGTGGTTGCTGTCTGCCAACCTACTACCACAGGACGGTAGTACCTCCCTGGGTGGTTGCTGTCTACCAACCTACTACCACAGGACGGCAGTACCTCCCTGGGTGGTTGCTGTCTACCAACCTACTACCACAGGACGGTAGTACCTCCCTGGGTGGTTGCTGTCTACCAACCTACTACCACAGACGGTAGTACCTCCCCGGGTGGTT